TTATTGCACCTTCACAGAGGGCCCATTGTAAGACGTTCAGGCACCCTGGTCAAGGGAGGAGACTTTTCTTAGAGTGGGAGGTTCAAGGATGAGCTGGACTGAAGGGATATCTGATGTGCTGTGGAATGTTCTTTGTTTGAGTGTGTGTGTGTGTGTGTGTGTGTGTGTATAAGATGTGAGGGCGGTGGCCAAATGTCAGAGATCACCCTGGTGTTGTGGCTGGGATGTTTCTCTCCACACTGCAGTGTGTTTAATAAACCCACTTCAAATTATTGCTATACTTGTATAGCAATAGTATAGCTTTTTTTTTAACCAATGGTCCTTTACAACACATTCTCCACTTATTATGTCATTGCATATACTTAAGTATAATTTAAAGCTTTATGGAAGATATGTATGTATGTTTGCCTGATTCCAGGCAACAAGTCTTTAATGAATTTTGTTATTGTAGAGACAGAAAATGAAAATGAAAGCATCCCCCCTCTCTTCTGCTACCTTCCTGTGTGCTCATTTGTCGTGTCCAAAAATAAATAATTGAAAGGCTGAGTGTTCACCTTTAATGGAAAAAAAAGTGAATTATTCAGAAATTTCTGGTTAAAATTCTTCTAAACATCAGATTATTTGTGATACTTTCATGACTTCTTATTATTCTTTGTGCTCTTCACAGTATCCTGTCTCTATTTTTATCTTAATATCCTGTTTTTAGGTTAGTGTGAGTGCTTTTTGCAGAGTCACGTAGACATTGGTTGAATCTTTTGTAGAAAGAAAGAATGCGTGGGAGTTTTCTGTTTTTCCTGCACACTTTTGGCATCCATGCAGCTGGTGCTTACCCTGCCGCACCCTTTACAACATATTCAGCTGTTTAATGTCATCAGCCTCCACTTTTGTTTTCTTTTTCTTTTCAAGGGTTTTACTGGCTGGAGTAATTTTCTGTTAGGAAACCAACACTAAACAGGGATAAATGTAACCGCTGTTGCTGATTACTTATTGATTACCGTACTGTTACTTAAGCTTGCTTTGAGCTCTGTGTGGTTTATTTGAAAAAAGGAAAAACGACAGCACATCGTAACCTGCCAAGTCATCAAAGACAAGTAACAAAGGTTTGAGTCTCACTTTTGCTTTTACATCATGGCCGAACTGCCCTTAAAAACAAACAAACAAACAAACAAACAAACAAAAAAAAACAAGTGCCACAGTGTTGTTTTCATCTTTTTTCTGCCTGCACTGTGACACACAGCAGTGTTGTTATGGGCCATACTTAATGTTACTGTTTGCAGTTAGAGACGTTAAGAAGGAGAAATGGGAAAGTCTGTGTGTTCATGTTGTTCGTGTCAAGAAGAAAAATCAGCATCTGCAATAAAACGCTGTTGATATAAGTACAGGTTGTTGTTAGTCGTTGGCTGAGTGCAGTGTTTTCTACTTTGCTTTCATATTTTTCACCCAAGCAGAAATAACAAGAATGAACTATGTCATTACAAATGTATAAACTTAATATTGTTAATAGAGTTTTGATCATTATATGCACTAGTTTTGGTCACAAGTGTGGGTAAAAGCTCAACTTAGTTTTAAAGTGAGAACAGTTTCTGAGTGTGTGGCTGTGATCTACCAGATACACAAGGCATGGTGTCCTCCTCAGCTCCCTCTTTGGCTTCAGCTCTAAATTATAAACTTAAAAAAAATTGGTAAATTTAAAAAAAAGAAATAAGTTCTTCTAAAGAAAAAGAATGTGATTGAAATAATCATATATCTCTTCTCCAAACTGGAACATCTGTTGTTTTGCTTATTTTGCATCCAGAGAGATAAGATGTTACAGGGGAGGCGTAATCTGCGATCAGTGGGTTAGATTAGTCAGATCTATACTTTTTCCACTTTGAGCTTGGCTCGGGTGCCTGTACATACCTGAGCATCCAGCCCTGATGCACAGATGCCACCAGCCACCTGCAGGGAGTGTGGTTAGGGGAGGTATTTAAGTATGTTTAAATATTCATTCAGGAATTTTTAACATGACATGAATGGTTGGCTGCACTCAATCTGTGAGGATTTGCTTCCTTTTTTTTTTCCTTCTTTTTTTCACAAATATTTTCTGTTCCCTTTCATTTTTCCTTCCACTGATAACTTCCTAGAAGTTAGAAGAAAAAAAAAACGGTGCCTATTTATCACTTTTGAAAAAATAAAAAAAGCTGATGTCTGGGCTCTGAGCAACCGTGTGTTTTGTGGGGTTTTTTTTTTTTTTTTTTTTTTTTTAAAGAAATACCTGACAGTTGGCTGGTTAAACAGTGTGGAGTGGGAAGCTTTCGGCTAATAGTGCGCAGTGCGCCCCAGGGTGGCTGTGGCTACAATGTAGCTGCCATCACCAGTGTGTGAATGGGTGGATGACTGGATGTGTAAAGCGCTTTGGGGTCCTTAGGGACTAGAAAAGCGCTATATAAATACAGGCCATTTACCATTTAATAGTTCTTCTGGAATGACCTTATTCATACAAAAATGATATTTTAATATTGTCTTATCACTCAATACCACTTAGAAAATGACAGTCTGGCTGTTCTAAAGCAAAATATGAAGAAGCAAGGGCTGAGACAAGACTTCTCTTAAGCACATTAGAACTGTACAGCTGTGCTCATAAATGGGGGTGGGTTTCGATAATTGATTTTCCAATTAAAATCGATTTTAGCTTGAATAGCGCGATTTGTTAAATCCTGAATCGATTTTTAAATATAAATGTATTTTGCCAGAAACCAATTTCAGCAATCACCAAACAGCTCAAACAGCAAACCAGAGCAGGCAAACGGATTCTGCACAAAGACGTAAACACAAAGCGCGGACCCAACGCATCAGGATCAGCGAGCTGTCGGCTTTCTCACCCGACGCCACAGACACGGGGCTGAAAAGCCGACATATCACAGATTCTGATGCTGCAGGTTTTGTCACTCTCCAACCAAAATGGATTGAACCAGGAGCAAAAGAAGATCCAAACTATGCTTCACATTTCGCTTCACTTAAACTTTGTCATGAATTCACTATTACTTTTGCCGTTTTGCTTCCACCACGATAAAATCCCAGTGGTTTAAGCTGGTTTAGATATTTCACTCTTGCAGTTTCACAGCATCCTGATTGTCGTTCTTCAGTTGAGGTTTCACTGGTTTTCAAACCATCAAACACTTGAGATTCACACGTGTTTGTTTGTGTGTTGCAGGAGTTTCGCTCTGAATCCTGACCTCCTCTTTGTGCTTCTGTGGCTTATGAGGCCATAAATTGGTCACCGTGGCGACCAGCAGGATTATTGAAAGTCCCCCGTCTGACTTTCTGAGGTCAGCCGTCACTGTTAGTGTTTATCTCATATTATGTCACATCTAAAATCCTGTGTAAGTATGAATGAATGGTGATTAAATTAAACAAATAAAATGTATTTTGCTTTTTTCCAGTGTTCACCATCACTCTGCTCTGCAGCTGGTCTCCTTTTCCACAGTGCAGTGACACAGTGTTGAAGAGGTGAGTGTGTTAGTGTCACAACGGGACTGAACAGACTCACGCGCAGGCTCTAAGTTTAGGAAACACAAGAGTCTTTATTACAGCACAGCAGGTGATCTATTTACAAAGGTGTGGTCCAGGGGGTCCACACACAAATGGGAAAGACGCTGAAAGTCCACACGCACTCCGTCCACTCCTCACGCTCCTCTTCACACTCCACAGAAAACACGATGGCGCACTCCACTCCTCGCACACTCGATCACTCAAAAAACGCAGGGGTTGGTCCAGGGAATGAGGGTCGGCAACGGTCCAGCGACGAGAAACGCAGAGCTGCCGTCTTATAAAGGAGCTGGAACACTCTCGTGATGAGCCACAGGTGCGTGATTGCAACCAGGTGCGTGGGTCAAGGGCAGGAGCCCACAGGAGAGCTCCGCCCAGGCAGAGGGAGGAGGGAGAGAGAGGAAGGGAGAGAGCACGAACAAAAGTGAAAATAAAAACATGTAGCCATGCTGAGCCGACCGGGTAGGCACAGGGACCCTGACAGTTAGAGGAAATGTTCATGTCAGGTTTAGTCTGTATGCACTCAGAGGTCATTTGTACCTGCTGCTGCTGCTGCTGCGGTTGTAATGATGTAAACCCTGATTGGTTGGATAGTTTGGTAGGATTTATCATTGATAAAATAAGATAAGAAGGAAGATTGTTCCACTGAGCTTCCACCCTGATATTGATCATCTTGTACACTTCAGGCTCAGATGGATCAGAACAGCCGCAGTCAGGATTCTTGATCTGAGTGACTCTTTGAGGTTTCATCTCGATGATCATCCCAAAGACTGGTGGTGGTAAAATTCTTAGTTCTGTTAGAAAGTAAGCAGTTTGTCCACTGTATGTATATTTTCACTCTTAATAATTACCTTATTGAAAATGAGTGCTGTGTATATGACCGGTTTAAGAAATGACACGGGTCGAATCATCCTACGTTTCACGTATGCGCCGTACAGGAGCGTAAGCGTTTTCAGTGTGGATGAACAACTCTTTGGAAACGATTGAAAACGACTCAGAGCTTTTTTTAGACAAAAACGCTGTTTTCAAATGTATCCGGATTAGTGTAGACGTAGCCTTAATTGAATTGCCTCTACACTATTTAGATTTTTAATGCTGTAACTGCCCACATCAATATCATCCATACTTTATTTTTTTCTCTGCTTTTTTTAGCTTTAAAGATAGTGATGGACTCAATATTGTGGTGCAGTACGTCAGCTGAAATCTCTGAAGCACTAAAGTTTCTACGCCCCACGTGTCTCACGTTGAAATGAAGAGCACTTAATTATCAGCCTCCTTTTAATCAGATATGTCTGATGGTGAAAACAAGCCTCCAGCAGCCAGCTGTCTGAGCTGAGGAAACAAAAGGCACACTTACAGTCTGAGCTTTGGTTTCTCACAAGCGTTAGAGTTAGCCTCACTGCTACGGTGTCATGTTACTTTCACATGGATGCCACAGGGATCCTGCACTCACTCTTCATAGAAAGTGACTGCGGTAAATTACATTACACAGATTTAGTGGTTTCAGTTTAATTATTAACTGTACTTACTGCACGGGAGCAGAGAGTCCAAGATGAGTCCGTCTCTGTTGTGACTTTATGAGATTTCCAAATCATTGCATTTAGATTTAAAACACAGAGTTTGTAAAACTGTGATTCAGATTAATTTAATTTTAGCTCATTGTTCTCCTGCTGGGCCCC